GAGTCTGAGTCATGCACTGTATGACGAAACCCTGCAGTTTCGTCGTACAGTGTGAGCTGTAACTGCATGCAACGATTGCAAAAAATCGCACAGTGTATGTCTGGCTTCAGCTACCTGTAGCACATTATGATGCTTTCAGCTTTTTTTGGTAGTACTGATGCTGAAGGTGTAAAGTTTGAGTTCTGTTTAGGGAAAAAAAAAACAATCCTGCGTGTGTTGGAATTGAAATTTTGGGATAAATTAGCAAATATTTATGTATTTTTTATGATATTTCCCCTCTCATATTTAGTACTTATATGGTTTTGCTCTTTTTATTCTATATTTTTAACACCAGACCCCACTGCAGCAGGGAGGTTTGTGCAGACCATGCTTTGATTGCTGTAAATGTTTTTTTTTTTTTTAGCTTAGTCAATTAAATTCATTGTATTTATATTGCGCCAGTTCACAACTCGTCAATTCAAGACACTTCCCTAAAACAATTCAATCAGATCATATTGTCAGTTTGGTTAAACGTTTTGTATCTAAGGAAAACCAGCTGATTGCATTGACTCATTGAATTTGCAGGATTCACGCCTCCTGGATGAGCATGTGGCGACAGTAGAAATTTGCATTGCTTGCATTGCTGGCATCGTGTCGATGACTCTACAGCAGTATGGAGGACCAACTCTGGCATATTTAAAAATAAATACAGAAATAAATAAATGCTCAATAAATATATAAGCATACAATTAATTGCCCACATAAATACAATAAACAAATAAATGTCAGTAGAAATTAAATTATAAAGTGAGACATAAATGTATATAACTCTTAATTAGCTTCTTTATTTATTTGCCTTTGTTATATTTACCTTATTTATTTTTTTGTCCTTTATAATCTTCAACTTTATTTTTTAATTACTTATATTTTTAAGTATTTATTTATGTGCATGTTATAATATTTTTGTCTGTTTTATTCTTCCTTTGTATTTTTTTACCTTAGTTATTTCTTCGCCGCTGTTTATTTCTCTCTGCCCTTTTTACATTTCTCTATGCATTTCTGTCTCATTATGCAAATGAGGAGGGGGTGTGTCCTAGAGAGTCAACTTCTGCTCATTGGTTGGCTTGGCGGTCCATCTTCTTAACTCACAGAGCTCAGAGTACTAAGTTAAATGCTCTCTTTTCTGTTGCTGTTGTTCAATTAAAGTATGTTTTAAGATCATTTGAGGCGAGAACCTTATACATTTAATCATCACCATATGCCCCATTCACAGATTTAATGCATAATTTAAAAGAAAATGTGACGAACTTGAGAGGACCGTGGCAACCAGCGGAGCTCCGAAGCTGACGGCAGCCAGGTCTATAGCCAGGCTATGATGGCGATTTTTTGTTGTATTTGGCAAAGTTTGGCAAAGTCCCTACTCAAGTTCTAATGACTTCAGACTCGACATCAGACTCTCCTCCTGTAGATTCGACCGATGTAGTAAAATGCTAACCAACACGCTTCACACACGGCTATTCCGAGAGAGGGCCGCTGCAGATGGGCTGTGGTCGGACCTGGCTGCCGTCAGCTTCGGAGCTCCGCTGGTTGCCACGGTCCTCTCAAGTTCGTCACATTTTCTTTTAATTTACGCATTAAATCTGTGAATGGGCCATATGGTGATGCTTAAAAGTATAAGGTTCTCGCCTCAAATGATCTTAAAACGTACTTTTATTGAACAACAGCAACAGAAAAGAGAACATTTAACTTAGTACTCTGAGCTCTGTGAGTTAAGAAGATGGACCGCCAAGCCAACCAATGAGCAGAAGTTGACTCTCTAGGACACACCCCCTCCTCATTTGCATAATGAGACAGAAATGCATAGAGAAATGTAAAAAGGGCAGAGAGAAATAAACAGCTGCGAAGAAATAACTAAGGTAAAAAAATACAAAGGAAGAATAAAACAGACAAAAATATTATAACATGCACATAAATAAATACTTAAAAATATAAGTAATTAAAAAATAAAGTTGAAGATTATAAAGGACAGAAAAATAAATAAGGCAAATATTACAAAGGCAAATAAATAAAGAAGCTAATTAAGAGTTATATACATTTATGTCTCACTTTATAATTTAATTTCTACTTACATTTATTTGTTTATTGTATTTTTGTTGGCAATTAATTGTATGCTTATACATTTATTGAGCATTTATTTATTTCTGTATTTATTTTTAAATATGGCAGAGTTGGTCCTCCATACAGCAGTTCCTCAAACAGAGCATGCAGCGACAACAGGGAGTCAAAAAAAAAAAAATCCCCTTTAACAGGGAAAAAACCTCCTGCAGAACCAGACTGAGTTTGAGTTCTGAGCCTGTTTTCCTATCAAGGGGATGGAAGGAAGCACATGTAGTTAGTTACAGTAAAAGCTGGGCTCATAGCTATGTGTAAGAGAGAAACAGGACTAAGCACCAGAAAACAGGCACAAGTCTATCATCCTTAATCGAAGGTGTTTATGAAGCAGCCCATTTGGTGTTTCTCCTCAGGTTGGTGTCACAGCCAGACCAGATGACAAAAAAAGTAGCAAGAGCATAAAGTTAGTGGCCAAACTAATAAATACTGTAGAATTATTAGCCAGAGCTGGAATGAAGCAGAATAATGAAAAGTAGTCTCTTGTAATGAAATGGGACATGCCTCTAATTGATTTATACTTCTAAAAAGTCAGATTATTGGCTGCAATGGTTCATGTCAAAAGTTTTCAAACTGATCATTTTCAAATGATCAGATGTTATGTGTTTTTTACACCTTGAGCTGTAAAAAGACTAACGTACTCAGAGAAATAAACTGTTGCACAATGGCCAAGTGGTTTAGCTATAGGCATAAGTAAAGTGAGAGAACTCGGGACAAAGGGTCAAATTTGAAACCTGTAAAATGTATCCCAAGCGCTAAGGAATTTCAGTTTCTTTTGAATTTATAGCACTTTTTTTTTCTTGACGTAGACACACACACGGACACACCTAGAATATGCGATTGTGAGTGTTGCAGGCCTACATTTAGCCAAGAATGTTCACTATGTGTTTTTTTTTTTCAATGTTTTTTTGCAAGTGTTACAAGTTGTCCTCCTGCAAAACCTTCAATCATTAGCTGAAAACATCTGATGCAGAAGAGAAGTCATGCTGGATGTCGTATCAGTGTCTGTACAGTTAGGCTCACTGGTGCTAAAGGCTCCCAGATGGTGATGCCTGCAGTTTCTAATAAAGGAGCTCTGAGACACTTTCCTCCATAAAGCACAACGTTTAGACTCTATGTAAAGAAAGCAAGAGTTCGATTGTTCATTTAAAAAGGATAAGAATAAAACCGCCAGTACAGAGATAAAGGTTTGCTGCCTAAATCGTTGAGTTTGGCTGAAACCAGGTGCACCTGAAAAGGAAGGAGCTCATTCTCGAGTACACCAGAACGATTGGAATGAGAGGCAGCCTGGGATGTGGCTGCTACAGTATGTGTGTCAACCAGGCAGCCTCAGATTCAGGTCAGCAGAGCATGCAGCATATGCTGGAATGTGGAGTTAAGTAACAGAGGCTTTTTAAGGGGAGAGACTTGGCGAATAGCATGGGGAACTCAAAACCGTCTCCTGCAGCTGCATTCGCTTCAGCTTGTTTCGATTTTTCCCGGCGAGCAAGCATTCACACATGGCCACACACTACACTACCTACATAGAGTTTCTATTTTATTTTGAAGGGTATTATGCCTAGCTTTAATGGGTAAATCTAAGACATTTTAAAAAGATACATTTTCAATGCACTCCCAGTTAAAATAACCAAGCTAAATAAAGAATATTGTTGGTTGACTGATGAACTAATTCAATTCCATTCAGTTTATTTATATAGCGCCAATTCACAACACAAGTCATCTCAAGGCACTTTACAAATTCAACCAGATCATACAGTCAAATTGATTAAAAGTTTTCTAAGGAAAACCAGTTGATTGCATCGACTCATTGACTCAAATACAATCCCTCACACTAAGCAGCATAAGAAATTGAACTGAATTAAAATGTAAGATTGCATTATGTAATGCAAAATTGAGCAGTTGCAGAAGCAGATATATTTAAAGCAGATGGCCTTTGCTTGATATAAAAAAGAACAAAAAACAACAGACCCTGAACTACAAAAAACACAATAAAAGAAGCAGCTCGTGTAATTTATATGATACATAACAACAATAATTGAATTAATTACCAATTCCTTTAATAAATCAATAAATGAAAGGAAAAAAAATCATATTTTGTATTTTTTTTTTTTTATTGTGGAAAAAAATATAGGTATTTTAAAAGCCTGAAATTCTGAATTTTTAAAGGCAGGACTTCTGATATAATTTTTCACTTTTGCACAAGCCACAATCCGCTGAATCGAAGTTAGAGAAAAACCTTTTCCAATCTTTTCTCAAAATTAGACTCCTGAAGTATTTGATTTGCCTTTCTGCAACTAACAGCCAAGAGGAGCAAGAAATCTTCTGTCAGACCGTCACATTGATGTTGTTAATCATTGACGGAGATAGCGATAAAAAACTCTCTATAATAAGAGTTTGATGTGTTTATTGAGCTTTGGGAACTTGTCTCTGCTAGTCTGTGCAAACTCTGCAGATGTGCTTTTCGGCACACGCAGCAGAACACGGTTAAAGTCGTTTGGCGTCGTGCTCTGAGATCCACCGAGAAGTAACCTCCCCTTCCATGTCTGCTAACGCACATGCTTCCCTCTTTAAAATCCAGTTGACATGTGTTTTTCCCGTGAACGCCGCTGTAAGCCGGCTGCTCTGTGAAAGGGATTTTGCAGTGATCCGTACTCACACAAGGGGATCGTTTCAGTACACCAAAACAATCAAATGAATCCAATTACTCGGCATTCCCAAGCACGCCCAGCAAAAATTCCTGTTTGTTGCATGCTGGTGTTTCTACAACGTGTCAGCTGCACAGAAATACTACATCCTGTTCATCCATCAAACTTGAAGCATGCTGGAGCCTTTTTTTTTAAAAGTTTGTTGTTCTTTACTTGGAGACACTATGCTCAGGTTTTTGTTTACTGCCTACGTGTGAGAGTGGAATCATGTGAGTGTGAGTTAGCTCCATGTTCCTTCAGTCAGCCTTGGGGAGGGGGGGTAGTATTGTACCCGTCTGCCTCACCTCTTTAAAGCTGTCAGTGCTTTCAGTGGGCGTGGTGTCTGCCATGATAGAAAACAAACACAGCTTCACCTAGACGACTGACATTTCATATCGTGGTGATAAAAGCCTCTCGTGTCTCGGGTGTGTGTGTCTTTCTTGTCGCTGACGTGTGCAGCGTGGTGAACCAACCCTCCAGTTTCACATAACCCGTCTCAGTAACATCTTCTCCGAGACGGCGCTCCGGCTCTCTGTTGAATGTAAACATGTCTAGTAGGCCCAGAGGGTGACAGGGAGACTAATGAAGTTCTGCTGAGAGGTTGCGTGTGTGTAGTTTTCTGGGCTGGGCCCCTGAGTAGGTTCTCCCTCCAATCTTTCCTTCCATTCGCCTTGTTTTCCTCGGGAACCTGCCAACCAGATGTAGAGGCGCTCCGCTGGCAGCTTTAAATTCCAGGGCCTCTCACTACGGTGATCCGAAGTCACGCGATGCCTCGCACAGGGGAGACACGCTGCAAAGGGAACAGGCAGAAAATGTTTACAGAAGGCTTTTTTATGTACTTTAAGTTTTTTTTGCTCCTTTTGTTTGCATCACACAGCGTAAAGCTGTAATTTTAGAAAGCAGCAAAGACTTCTAAAATTATAACAAAAAATGTCAGGTTCAGATAAGTACTGTCATTTGGAGCACATGGAGGGCAATTTTGTTTTTTCAGTCGATGCGCCACAGATAATCAAGGTTTCATTTTACCTTTAAAATTATGGTTTGAAACCTTGTTTTATTATTTTTGAGATGTCAGATTCTGGCATGGGTTGGTACCAAAGTTTTAATTTAAAATATTTTCCATCTTACTGTCCCTACTAAGTGTAGGTTAGGTGTACTTTATGTTTTGAAAGATACATAGTCACTTTACATGCCAATTTAAAAAATAACAAAACACATTTGATCATTAAAATATAAGGGAATATACACCAAGTGTCTTTTTGATTGTCCTCCTTCAGCCTAAATAGAATTCCAGCACTGGGCTAAATGAGCAAATGTGTGTGCCATCTGCTGGCAGTTCTGCTGAACTACCAGAAAGCTAGATGGCAGCAATTGAAACATACTTTTCATTTATAGTTTCCCAAAATATTTTCCTCTTACCTGAAATAATTTGCCTTTATTTATTTACTAAACAAACTGTTTTCGAAGCAGGTTTATTACTGCAGGATACTGATGTGATCTAGGAGTCGTGTCTAGTGTGCCGCTTTCCAGTACAAACACTGTATGGTCAGGAAGGAGGAGCCAAGTTTAATCAGTCATGTCGACACGAAAACAGGAAACTGTATCAATGCTAAAATTTTTAATCATCAGTGGTGAAATGGACCAACTTTTCCGGTTTATATTCTATGTGAGAAGCTCCAGTAGCATTTCAAAGTTTTATGCAACAAAAATAATTATTATGCACTTGTAGTAATTGTTGCAGTTACATCATATACATTTTCACCTAAAATAATTGTTTAAATAACACTTTTCTTCACTCTTAAGGGTTTAATGTCTAGTCAGATGAAACACTCTTCAATTTGTTATGCTGCATTTGAAGGTTTTGTTGCTGAGCATTTTCAAAACCCTGTCAGAGCATCGTCTTGTATGCTGACCTCTTGCTGGCTCTGGTGAAAGCAACACCAGAGCTGCACGTTTTCACACATCGCCCTCTTTTTTACTTTAGCCGGGAACGTAGTGAGCAAACTTTTGGCAGTTGGATTTAAAACCGCAGTGGAGTTTCTGACGACCTCCGACCTCCGTTCTGCTGGCTCGGCTCTGTGCCAGATGTGCGACTCCGTCGTTCCTGCGTGGGAAAAGGAATGCATGGCTTTAAGTTCATTAAACAGCTCCATGAGTGACGGCTGAAGACTTGCTGTTTGCACTAGGTTGCCTTCTCAGGCCCTGTGCTCTTTGTGGGCACACAAAGCCTGCCGAGGGACCCTCGGTGTGTTTATGTGAGTGCATAGGGACTCAGAAGATACCTCTATTATAAACATTTCTGAAAGTGCATCTGTACAAATGTCCAAGGTCCTGCAGGGTCTCTTAGGCAACAAAACAAGTTGTTTGTGTTTGCAGGTTTTAAATAAAAAAATAAAAAACAAGTTTTGGTGTTGAAAGAAAATAAAGTGTATTTAATCAGTGTATAAATACCTGTTTCTCATTTTGGTGCGTCTCTTTTTGGACTCCGGATGGAGTGGAGTGGGGTGGAGTGTGTGCTTATGGTGGGGGTAGGGGGGGTATAAGGCCAGAGGTTAAACACAAATCCTCCCATGATACTCAGCTCGTGAAAAACAGTCAGGTGGCGACGTCTCTGAAAAAAAGCTCAGCTTCTCACTTTTAACCTGCTGCCTTTATTTATTTCTTTTAACCCTTTGGGTTCATTTCCTGCCCTGCTTGGACCATTGGGACACAAAAAAAATAAATAAATCGCTCCTTGAAAGATCGTAGTCATTTTGAATCGACAGAATTATATCCAAATTATTATTTTTTTTATAGTATCTCCTGTCCTTTCTTATTTCTTTTATTTATTATTATTATTATTTTAAACACAAAATGTGTCCTGTTTAAATGTTTTTTTTTTAAATGTGCATTGAAGAAACTGTCAGTACTTCCATGGGAGCGACAGTAATATAGAAGCACGTCCTGCAACCGTAGGGTTGCCGGTTGGAATCCCAGCTCCATCTGTCTCTGTTGTTTCTTAGCAGATGATGGTCAGAGGACCCGGCGATGTCTGCGTGGCGGCCTCGCTTCTGTCAGTGAGCTCCAGGGCTTCAATCTAGCTTACTGCCATCATTGTTTAGTGAATGACAGAATGGAGTGTAAAACACTTTGGTGGATACGGACATTTACCTTTTAAACCATTTATTTTTATTTTTTTAATCATAATCATCCCTGACGTTAGCAACCATAAATAAAAACATAAATATTCATACATTTTCAGAAAAACGCTGAAGTGTAGTATATATTCTAGTGACAGAAGTCTCTCTTTAGAAATGACACCTAAATTATATATCTTCTCTCATCTTATTTTTGACAGTTGAGTTTTTTGGCGTGTCTTAATCAACCCGTTATATCAGCAATCCTCTAAATTCTCTGAGCAAAGATGATCAAAAGAAAAAAAGAAAAGTGTTTTTCAAGCCCATTTATGAGAATTAGCTGGATGCAAACAGACAGGAAAATCAAAAATTTGAATGTCAGTGACCGCTTACGCAAATAAAGCCAAATTAATGCAAATGCTTAATTTAGTTTCAAGAAAACAAAATTCCATTTGAATCAGCACAGCCTCAGTGGTGCAAAGATAACATAAACACAACGTTTCCCCGCGAGGGGAGGGGGTCGGATTGCAAACAGCCTAATGATTGTGTATTGTGTTTGTTGCACAATAAAACTCTGAGTTTTGACTTCTTTGAACTCCCGTCTGACCCTAACCGAGCCTCTTGCTGTTTGCATCAAAGAGCATCCTGTTGTGACCCCCGAACTGTAAAATGTGTTGTGGCTGAAGAGCACACAGGTCAGACGGTCTACACCTTTAGGGACACACCGTTTACCTTCATCGGGCGCCGCTCGTGGCACGGCTGTTCCCCACGATCTGATAAACATTGCGTGACCAGCGCTCAGCTTAGGAAAAACAAACGTGAGTGAGCGAGGGTCTCGGCCCCCACCGCAAATCAGCTGTGCACTCTTGAGGAAAAACAGTTTCAGAGTCTCGTGACAGGGAAGCACACGGTGCTGCGGAGAGGGCTGACAGAGACACAATGCTGGGTTGAACGAAATCCTGTCCTGTTGATATGCATCAGGAACACAAAGCTCTTCTTGAACAAAAAATGTTGGCTTCCTACTAACAGGAGTGCATGTATCACTTTGTCAGGCTGCATAAATTGCAAGAAAAAGGCTTTACCAAACATTTCTAAGCCGTTTGTAAAGTTAAAGATAACTACAATCTTTCTATAGCATCTGGTTACATCAATAACAATCCTAGAGGATACTTTTTCGGCTGATTTTTTTATTGATTTGTAAATAATTTTTAATGCACTAAATGTGTATATAAAACGTCTGCATCAAATGAACATGTCAGTCCTCACATACTTTGCATCTTCCTTAAAATGTGCTTCTCATGAGCTAACAAGATGATAAATCAGGCATTATATGTCTGTTTAGGAGCTAGACTACATTTAGTTTGGTAGTTCAGAGGTTTACATGTTATAATAGTAATAAGAATCCTTGCTTTTCCAGCTTTATACCTTCTTCCTGTATGTTAAAGTACAGTTGTGCTTGAAAGTTTACATAATAATAAAAAAAAAAATTGCTAAATTATAATATAGTAAAATAAAATATTGATTTTGAATTTTTGTTTTAAAAAATAGTTATAAAGAAAAAACTGTCCCAAATGAAAGCACTTTGCAGATGAACAGTGAAGCAACATACCTGTGTGAATAGGTGCAGAAACCTGACTGAACATTTGCTGAACATTGAAGAACACCTGATTTCAGCGATCGGCTCAAAGTGTTCCCCAACATAATGTTGGTGCCCCATCAGGCTTGTTTTATTTATTAATATATGCATATATTTATTTATTTGATTTTATCATTTTTATTTCTTATATTTAAGGATTTACTGGTTGCTGAACTTTCAAGCACAGCTGTAGGTTTGTTACCGATACAGGAAGGCCAGGTTTATTCTGCAGACATATTTAGGAAACTTGAATGTGATTATCCTTAAAGTTCTCTCTAAAGGTCATATATCTGTGAAATATGTTAAACTGATTGAAAGAAAGATTAGATTTTAATGGAGGAAAAAAAAGTTATCAAAACAAAGTGCAGGTCGACAGGCAGAAAATAGCATAATTGCATAATCGATTTGATCACTTGCCATAGACATGTTACCTGGATGATTTGCACATCTCGGCATGGTGTGCATTTAATCAGGAAAAAAAGAAAGAAATGCGTTTTTGGCCTAAAACATGGCCGCTGCAGATCTATGAAAAGTTCAAATTTTAAAAGCGCTCATTCTAAAAGAGCTCATGCTGTCAGTGCGGAAATCCTGTTTATCATTAATGATAGAAATGTTGCTATTTCTATGCAAAAACTCTCTTTCTGTGGATGCGTATAACTGGTTAAGACATACTTGTAAGCAAATATTAAATGCAGCATGAGGTACGTTTGCAAATATATCAAATCCGGGATGATGAAGGTGAATACACAGCAGACTTCTCTGCTTTTTAACTATTCAAAATGAGTATTAACGTCTCAATTAACAAAATATGCTAATGTTTGTGACAAAATAGGAGAAATGTCGAAGCGGCTGTAATGCTTTTCCAAACATGGTGAGCATGTCTTTGGGACGGAGAAAGTAAATCATAAAATCACAGTTTTATACAGGAAGAAAGCAGATAGTCAGGCACAGTATTTTTGGGGAAAACGCCTTGTTTTTGTTATTCTATAACAAGAGAAGGAGATGGTTGGTTGGGTGGGGGGGTTTGAGGGCATGACGTTTGGCTCAAATTACTCTTTGGATGATGCCTGCTGCAGCTGAGCACACTGCACTGAAAGAGCCCTTCTTTTCAACCCCAGAATAAGTCATCCACCAGCTCAGACCTCGCTCCTGTTCCCAAAAAAACACCCATCTGCTGCAGACCCCCCGCTCCTTCCTGCCTGCTTCCCCCTGGCAGCAGACCAAGCACTTCATGTGGCTGTCCTGGAGCAGGCTGGGGTTGGCCCCCCCACCCCTGACCTCAGAGGACACTTGTTTTCCAGTGGGACCAGGGTGTGTTGGTGTTGGCAGGGTGGAGCAGGGAGTTGTAGGGGTTCGGTTTGAGTTTTTTTTCCCCCTTTGGGTGGGGAAGGTTAAAAGAGCTGGAACACTTTCACACGGCCTCTTTCGTGGAACACCTCCATACACCTGCAGAAAGTCGCCATTCGTTCTTATTTCCAAACCAGAAACATGCCCTTTTTACTCAGGAAGTTTAGACTCTCTTGCCGCCTGAGGGCCGTTTCTGATCGACCTCCACTCATAACAGACTGGTCCTGTGAAAAAATCAGGTGACGCCCTTCCTGAAAAACACGTTTTTTTGCACCCGACGACACTTGTGTACTTGCAGAACCCTCATGCCTCAACTCGTCCTAGCGAGCTCTGATTAGGTTTGTTGTGATGGTCAGAGAAGATTTCACATTGTTAGGAGTTTGTTTACCATAGAGCCGGAGTTAGCCAAATGAGATTCTGCAGAGGGTGGGTGGGTGGTGGGTTGGGGGGGTAGAGCTCAGAACAAAGAAACTGTTCAGAGACCTGCTGGACTAACAGAGAAATAAAAGGCTTTCATGAACAAATCTAAATGGACCCAGAACAGACAAAGGGGGTTTAGCTGATGTTGATACAGTATCAAGAGAAATTAGCTCCTCTTGCACAAGCAGATTAACTCCGCCTTGTCCTCGCTATCACCTAAATAAACATCGTAGTGATGCATCCAAAGAGCTCTTTACCCGAGGGTCCGGGGTTGTCGGCCTGAAGGGCTTTGGCCTGAATTTGGTCTTTTTCTAGGGTCACGGTCTCTTATGTCTTGGATTCCTGTCAGCATCATAGTCCCTGGAACAGCTGGAAGTCGTGTCACTGCTGGCATTTTCATCAACTGGGATGTGTAGTTTGTATTCTTTTAGGACATTTTCCATCCAACTTTGATTGTTGTTTATTTCTGGTGGAGGAGTGAAACTGCTGTCATAAAACCATCAAAAACGCTGTGACGAGTTAAATGAAACAGAATATGAAAGCTTTCAGACTGAGACGGTGTGAGGAGAGACTAGAATCCTGAATCACCTGTTACTGAGCGAAACTATCAGCAAGCAGGGATATAAATAATCTGAAACATCTCTCAGGCTCTCGTTATAAGTCAAACCGGTCTTCCTAATATGAGGTGGTCGGGGTCAGATCTTCACATAGTCCAAGTTCAGTCTGTGTTAAAAAATGTGTTTAAGAAATAGATAAAAAAAAAATAATAATAATAAATTTCTAATGTAAAGCTCCTCAACTGCACATTTTTTATTCATTTTCTATGTTTAATATGGAAATATAAAAGTAAGAGCCTGTTAATTAAGTGTCTGTTTTAGTTGCTATTTGCAGTAAAGCACATTAGTGTTGCAATAATAGATCAATGTAGATCAAGCCGCTTTTTTGTAATATATCGATTTGACGGCTATGGCCTTAAACAGCCAGCTTTGACTCTGCTCACACACACACACCATGTGTGTCGGGGCTTTTTGCTCCCTGTGTCTTTTCAAAACCCTAAATGTGCTGCGAATGACAGAGCATACAGGTGAAGACCCCCCACTTAACCACCCTGGAATCTTATTTTAATGACTTAAAGCCTTAAAAACAGCAATATGTATGCAGAAACCATTCCCCTGCCTAATAATCACTTATGCTTATCATTAGGTAAATGGTTTGCAACAAGCATTTAAAAATAAAATCTGTTCAAAGGGAAGGGACTTTCTGCTAAAATAATTACCAGAGCAGAAAATTAAGGCATTGGTCAAATTAATTGAAATTACAGAATGTTTTCCAACTTTACACAAACACAAAGCTCCCCTCCAACTCCCGGTCCAAAGCTGAGCTGTACCTGCAACAATCAGAGTGTCGGCCATAGTTGCTCAAAGTGGTCCACATAGACACACCCTAATAATAATCAGGGGACCCAAGGAGCAGCTTCTGCTGTTTAAGGACAATCATCTCGACCTGTATGTGTGTGTCTGTGTTGGTTTGTGTTTCTGTTCTGGTGTGTGGGTGCACTCACTTGTTTTGTTTTTTTTTGTTTTTTTGACGGGTGCTGACTCATTTTGTTCTTGTGTGCTTGCTTGCAGACGTGCCAAGTTAAGGCTCTACTTGGAACAGTTGAAGAAGCTGGTGCCTTTGGGTCCTGACAGTACGAGACACACCACCCTGAGCCTCCTGAAAAGGGCCAAAATGCACATCAAGGTACTTAAAGAGCACCGCGAAATTACATTACTGTGGTTATAGGCTTGTTGCTACTGTTCAAGACAACCACAGCTTGTGAGGTTTTGTTTTAATGAGTTTTTTCAATTAAATGGCTTGACCTGTATGTTTTTGTTTTTTTAATATGACATTTATGACCTGATACCATTACATCAAATCCAGGAAAACAGACTTTTCCCCACTATCTTTTACTATCCTGTGTTAAACTACATATGTCCAGCTTCCTTGTACCTGATGCCAAACATTCCCACAGCATGACACTGCCACCACTATGTTTCCTAGTTCAAAGGATGAATTTAGGAGGGATTCCAGTGTTTGTATTCCACCACATGTGCTAATATGCACAGTTTGAAAACAAACTTTTTACATATATATATATATATATATATATATATATATATATATATATATATACATACCATCAGGTATCCATGTAGTAACAGTTCATAACTGCACTGTTTAGTGCTGCTGGGGGCATTTTTTAAAGACACAGTATCAATAATTGTACTAGGCTTATATAAAATGACGCACAAGCACATCCAAGTAAAAACATCCCTTAAAAAGAAATCAGGAAAATTCTTCTTTTTTTTAATTTTTCATAGTTTAAAAAGATTCAGGACAAAAAGGAAGAAAAAACAAGGTTAACAAATGAGTCAAAAAAGTGGACTGAGCAGAGGGCTGGGTGGCTGATCTGTAGATAAGAAGATAATGGGATGTTTAGTTTGTATAGAAGCAGCTTCTCCATGTTTCAGGACACTTTAAGCTCACAGATGCAAAGATCTGCCGTGTGCACAAGAGGAGGAATATTAAAAGCCTTAAGAAATGTTTTTCATGCATGGACTGTTGGGCTGCAGAAGATGGGGTCATGCTGCACTGATCGCGGTGTTTACAGGCAGCAACACTGTGGTTGGATGGAAAATTCAAACGTCAAGAGTTTTAACCCTTCATTTCCTGTTTACCGCGCAAGTCCTGTCTGCTCAGACGCTGCATGCTGGTTCTCGTCACTGCGTCGTGTCTTCTTGTTTCACAGGAGGCCTCAGGGCTCGGGGTTAATTTGATTTACCACCGAAAACTTTCAGTTGCAAATGAGAGCAAAATATAACCCCAAACAGAGTCAGAATTTGACTGCGGTGCTCATGTTCATTTATTCATTTACTTTTTGCTTCACTCATTAAATGTGTCAAAGTGGAGCTTTAATACCTTTTAAAAGAGTTGTGGTTTTAAGCAGATAGATCCTATAGCTATAAAAGTTACTAAATCATATCACATGCCACAGTTTTCTGCAACACTGGCAAATATCCATTCAAAGCAGTAAAGTTATTTCCTATTCTATTGCTTTTGTCTAAACTCTGCCTGGAAATGTTCAAAGAAAACCAGCCTTTAATTTGAGCACTTTTATTAATGAAGCAAATGTTTAAGTGTTGAGAAAAAACATATATTTTTTGTAAAATTACTGGTGCCATTTATGACTTCCTGTTTTCCTGTAGCATAAATATGGTGTGATATGGAGGCCCATTCCTGCTAGGCAACCTCCAAAACAGAAAAACATCCCTTTAATGTAAGGCAGATATACGTTTAGATTAGCTTTTCATCTAATGTTACTCTACAGTAATAGACTTCATGCACTATGAAGGGGAAGGTTTAAAAACTATTGAGATATATTTCAAGAACTGGTCACAAAGGCTTCATAAAATGTTTAAATTTGAGTTGCATTTAAAAGGAAACCTAACAAAATGTGTATTTCTACAGCAGGATCTTAAATATATAAATTCTATTATTTTATGTTTGCATTTTCTGTGTTTTTTTTTTGTCTTGCAGAAGCTGGAGGAGCAGGACAGGAAGGCTCTAAACGTGAAGGAGCAGCTTCAACGAGAGCACCGCTACCTCAAACGCCGCCTCGAGCAGCTCTCCGTTTCGGGATCCGTGGAGCGCATCCGCACCGACAGCATGGGCTCTACCATTTCCACCGACTCAGAGCAAGGTATGCTGACGTTTCACTGAGGAGGTCCGAGAAACAGAGCCATAGATCCAGCATTTACTGCAGACCAGAGACTTCATTTAATTTCTCCCACTAAAGTCAATTTAAAGTGCACTGCAAAAAAAAATCATGCAAATTTAACTAGTTCACACCATCATTAAGGTTGCATCTGATAGACAAAGTTACACACATTTTAGAATTAATTAACAAAGCGCTGAGAAAATGTGGCGTCCATCCCCTTTACTCTGATACCACCAATTAAAATCTGACCATAAATCTATTAAACTGTTCATGTAAGCTCACATGGGATTATTGATTAACTACGGGTAAAACAATCCTACATTGCAAAGAATAGAAATCTAAATAGGTCATTTTTTCTTAAAATAAGTGATTTTTATTGGATTGAGGAGGTAATAGAACAATACAGATGACATTTAAAATAAGCAAAAACAGTTGCATTGACTTATTTCAAGTGCATATTATCTAATTATCTCATTTCAAGAGTAAAGATGCTGATTCCATTGGCAAAAAAATCGTATTTAGTAGCTCAAATTAAGGGTAAATACACTTTATTTAAGACATTTTTACTTATTTCTAGATATTTGTAGTGTAGAATTATGAAATCAGGGATATAATCTGGTCATTTCTGTACAAACCTTTTTTTTTTCAGTTTTCTCACTAAAAACTCATTTTCAGATTAGCACTAATCATATATTGTGAAGGTATATACTAAACTATGTGTTTAGCCTGAATGCAACTATGAAACAGGGTAGCGACATTAGGCTGTGGAGAGGCATTCTAGAAGAAAACTTTTAAATACATATTTGATATCCTTTGCAATCAAGCAGAACTTTGCACTGGTTAATCACATAAAATCAAATAAAAACAGACATGGCTGAATGTGAAAAGAGGACATATTTTTCTGGTGTAATAAATAGGCCTTATAGCTGTGATGAAGGAAAGCAGCCTCACTGTCACATCAAGGCATGTCGACAGGCTGGAGTGTCAGCTGCAGAAATAACAGACAGTCTGAGGTCAGGCTGGTGTTTTATATGCAAAAACCCCTGAAAATCTCTAGAGAAGTCAGAAGAACCCGTTGTGTCGCTGAGAAGGTGTTTAGAGATAAGAAAGTTGTCAGTGTTGGAGCTAAACTCAGCGCTGCGCTCAAATGCTTTTGTGTTGCAGTTAGATCGCTTGTAGTGTTTCTTAGGGGGAGCATCCGAATCCTGAAGTTACTGGCTTTTTTCCAGAGCTCTCTGTCCTGCTTAGCTTTGGGCAGCTTTAGAGTGTTAATAATCCTGCAAGAGGTAAACACATATGTGGTTCTTTATCAATGTAAGGGGATTTACCTGCGGGAGCACAAAGATCTCCTTCGCTCCGCATTAAAGGTGGTCCACATCCAGGTTAAAACCGCAGACCTCCCTCACAGCTACGCCGTATTCGCAACAGTTCAGCAGAAGCCAACATTTCTCCTCTTGTCTTCTTGTTTTTGTGTAAGCAGAGGTTGACATCGAAGGTATGGAGTTCACACCGGTGGAGGCGGACAGCATAGACAGCATCAGCGACGGCGACGAGGAGGAGGAGGACCACTACAGCGTCCAGAGCAGCTCCAGCGACACCAGCTACACAGCCGCACATTCCCACAGACTGCAGCCGCACCACTGTTAGGCGCCTCCCGGTGCAGTTCTCCCGACTTTTCTGCCCCCCCCCACCCCCCCCCCACCCCCCCGATTCTCCATCACCGCCTGCTACCTGCATCAAACCAGTCCACAACGGCGGTACAGCCTCCACCTGTTCCAGGCCACAACTCTGCAGGCTGACATGGTAGCTGAGCCCTCACCCCCCTCACACCTAACCATGATCTTCCCCTAATGCATCCTGCTCCCAACACCCCCCACCCCCACCCCCTCCCCGCCTCACAGCCCCTTCTGACCTGAAGTTTCTGAAGGCTCAAACAGTTCAGAGGAAAGTTTATGGTGTTTCCTATCAGATAGATCTGCAGGGGGTAAAGGTGAGCAGCTTTGACCTGTTAATAGCTTCATGCCAAATCGAGCTTCAGTCAACTTCCAGCAGCATTACAACTCATACCAGGTTTTGCAAAAAAAAAAGCAAAAAAGCACTTCTGTTTGCACAGCAATACATGCAAAGTCACAACCTCAGAAGCCAGTTTTGTCTAAAAGCGTCATTTATTTCCCAAATCACTGCTGCAGAAGATCTTAGAGACTTAGACTAACTTTATTGTCATCTTGTACACTAAGAGTGTATACAAAACGAAATTTCGATGCATACAGCTCACAAGAGTGGAATGAAAAGAACATTACCATTTATAAAAGTGAAGCAGTGATCAGAATGTAAACAGTTAAGGAGAAAATGAAACCAGTTTGAAAGTCACGGTGCAAAAGGCATTGATATGGAAAGGTTCAGTGCAGTGCACAATAAATAAATAGAGTCAAGTAGAAAATTAAGTTGTGTTCTATTTAAAGGGATTATATCCTAAAGCATACTGCTTTATATGAAGGTAATAATACCTAGATCCATCTTTATGCTTCCTCAGTGGTTCTTGTTGGCTTCGCTTGTGGGATTTAAGCACAATTTGTTAGTGTTCTTCGTCACATAATGTGGCCCAAAAGGTTTCCTTCTAGAGCTCATATGCTGTCCCATCCCATACAATCTCGATAAAGCATGTTGAGGTTTGTGGTTTCGATGTGAAAAAAATGTGTAAAAGTTTCAGCTTAGCTAATTCAGAGCTTTCGCAATCTAAATGTAAAACTCCAGAGCTGCAGCAGAGCAGAAACAGTGTAAATAGATCAGCCAGTTCCTGTCCGCATCCCCGTGTCTCCCTCTGGTTGGGTTGCCTAACCACTAACTCCACACTACTGACCACTACACTATACCACCAGATGGTGTGGATGGACTACTAAGTCAGAGAGAAAAGAAGAAGGAAGGAGTTGTCATACAGCTATAAATCTTGTGTATTTTTTTTCTCCTTCTCAGTAGCTAATTGATGTAGCAATAAGATGCTTCCTCTTACGTTTTGAAGTGATCCTGGTGGACCACGAGCTATTGTTATTGGGAGATTTTACTTCTTGTGTTTTGTTTCTTGTTAGCCTGACCTTTGTGTCGGATTCACTAACTGATCCTGACCCTGTCTGCACGGCGCCATCTAGCATTATAAAAAGGAAAATTCTCTGCAGCTCTGTCACTTTCTTCCCTGGCGTCCGATTAGCAGGTCAAAGCTGGTCAATTAAAAGAGGGGAAAAATTGGTTTTATGTAGAGGTAACCAACATTAACCCTCCTTCAGTTTCTCTAACAGAAGTAATCATCTTTTCTTCTCTGCTGTCTGTTACTTTTGATCCCCTGCTGTCTTTTGACTGTAACTCATGCACAACAGTGGCTTTGGAAGGACGAGGTGCTCTTGTTGCTCTCTGATGGTGTTAGTTATCAGTAGCCCCCACCCAGCCCTTGTCTCTTGCAGTCTGTAGAGCTTGGCACTTTAAAAAATAAAATAAAAACAGAAAAGCTGCCTGTCCACTACGGCGGGTGGGTCTGACCAAAAAAATATAAAACTGTACTAAGAAAAAAAACCCTGGAAAGAAAAGAAGCTACTCCTCACTTAAAGTGAAATCTGCTAGTGTAGTCTATATTTCTTGTACTGAGTTTTGTATTATATTTTCCTAAATGTTCTCTAAACCTTGAAAAACGACAAAAAAAGAGTGAGTATATCTATCTATATCTATAAATATATATATCTATATAAAAGAGACAGACAGACAGGACGCCAGGCTTGTTGAAGGGAGAGTGGGGGCAGGGGAGCCCGTACACTGGCCCCCTCTCTCTTGGGTGACTCTCCTGCTGTCATTCTGTGCCTTGGTGAGCCTTCCTCCTCCTCTTCCTCCTCGCCTCCCCCAACTCAGGTCACACTCCCCCCTCCTTTTACTTGTCTTCTCAACACTTCCAGAACCTGAAGGGTCATCAGAACCACCAAAAAAAAAAAAAAAGTGCTTCGTGGTGTCTGCTCCAAACGGCCACACCCCTTCCAGAACCCCCAGTCTCCACTCTGTCATGGAAATAAACAGAAAAAACAAACACTGGTGAACACCCATGGCAGCTTCCTGTCATGTCCGACCCTCCACCCCTCCACCCATCACCTCTACCGAACTGACACCAGCGGGGGGCTAAAAACGTCTGCGCTAGACGCTTCTTCATCTGCTTTTTTTTTTTTTTTTACAATTATTGTGTGTTGACTAAAAGTTTGTTCTGCGGGAGCCACCGGGAGAGGAGCGACAAAAGAATAATCAATGGCAGCTTAAGGTGTTATCCTCTGAGCTCCCAGGTGGTCCGACCCAAACTGAAAAAGAAACAATAGTGTTACCCATCGATCAGGGGGACTTCTCAACTCACAGCAATATGACCATCTTGTGCTTTCGGACAAGGGAGGGCGGGCAGGGCAGGGATTTTTAAAGACAAGCAGGTGGTTTACTTTGCTTTTACTCTGTAGTGCATTTATGGTGACCAACACTTTGTTTGCTTTTTTTTTTTTACCTCCTATCTGCACTCTCTACATACACTGCAGGAGGGCAAAAAAGATTAAATATAACCCCAGGTTAAAATGCATTTTCTTTTGGTCATAAAGAGTTTACATTCATGTCAGAGCATTTGTACATGACTGTTTGTAGCAAAAAACAAACAAATAAAAAAAAAAAAGCCGCCCTTATTGGTTGAAATGAACAACTGGGTATACCATTATTAATGGGTTCTAATGATTCTCTCGCACAGAACCTCCTGTTTGAAAAGCAACAAGGATAGAGGGAGCCAGATTTGAGATTATAACGATGCAGTTATTCTTGGGGGGAAAAAAATAAAAAAGCACACATGCTCATGATGAGAGGTAATAGAGCAGCTGACTGGACATGTTGACATTCTGGTTGTTTCATGAGTGGCTAGGTGGGGATGGGAGTTCCTTCAAAGATGTGCCTTGCGAAGAGATTTAAACAAAAAGTTATTTTCTTTACAAACAAGAGATTGTACCAGTTAAAGACTGTTTGTGTTCCGCTTACCTTCTGCAGCTGATGTATAGAGGCATGGGCCGGGGATTGTTTTGGAGATATTGAAAGGACTGAACTCTTTCGCCAATAAGTAGAAAAATGCACAGATTAGGCTTTTACTGTCTGATACCGACTTCCCATTTTCTTTCAGGTAAAGTTTTTAATTTTAACCATTTCTATTACATTTTTTTCTTTCAAGGATTAAAAGAAAGAACAAACTTCTGCTGCTGACAGAAGCAGTGTTATGAGTCCAAATGGATATGAAGGAATTAAAAGATTATACTAACTGGCAGATTGATTGTGAATTGGCTGTTTCAGTTATCTGGATGCTTTATTGGTGCATTTCTAATTGAGTCCCTTGAAATAAAATTACAGAAAAACTACAGGATTGACGGGTTTTTAAGTAGACTGATCTTGCCCGTTCCCCACCTGTTGCTGCACACTGCTACAGTTCTTTTCATGAGATGCGCAACTTGTTGTTTTGAAATGTAAGACATTAGATCATCCCCTGGCTTTTTGTGTTAGTGTTGTGGTATTGTTCCCCTTAGGTAATATCTTTAGTGTATCGTAACCGGCCCATGCCTACCTTCGTTTGGCTGTCGTATAGAGAAAAGGTTCGTTGTAGATAACAGCAGGCTTGGACAAAATAACAGAGAAACATCTCAAGAGATCGAAACCAGTTCAAGTCTTCTGCTGCTTTTAAAATTCACCCCATTACTTCCATAAGAACTGTTATTCCTGCCAAACAAAGTCACTTTTATTCCTGATTTTATGTTAAACAACATGGATTGCTTTAACTACCTTTTAGGTTTTAGGTCTGCTTTCCAGTTTCTGCACTTTCCAGCTTTTATTTCTTTCGTTCTTTATTTGCATCTTCCCGCGTTGAGCTAAAGTCCTCCAGAGTAGGAACCACCGAGTGGATGCCTGGGTTGGGATCTAGCAGAGGGGAAAACGGAGAAACAGTAGGGGACTGACGTGCTGAGCAGAGGAGGGAGAGTTCTGTGCCAGAGACCTGTGAAATATGTTCCTTTATAGAGGATGTGTAATTTGCATACAGAAGATGTTCTTTTTTTTCATTTTGTTTTGTGAGTATGAGTGCGTCTATACGAGTACCTGGTGCTGGCTACATTTTAGCAAACACTTGGAGGTATTGTCTCATTGTAATATAATTAAAATGTTTTATACATAAACGTGTCGCTGTAATTTACTCATGTACGCAGCTGAGCAAAGGAGCAGGAAATTTGTATGAAGGCATTGAAATGTTATGGGGGGGGGCTTCCTGTTTGGTTTGTGCAGCTGAAATCTGGAATATCTGTTTTTAAAGGTGAGAGTGCAGCTACAGTCACAGAACCCAGAAACAAGACAGTGTTTTCATTTGTTTTATTGGAGCTTATCTAATCAAATAAGAGCTTTCTGAAATTTTACCTTGATGTGAAATCAAACATTGGAAGAATTGAGGATTTTCAAGAGATTTTAAAGTTTAAAATGACCTGAAGAAATTAAGAGTACATTTGTCACTTATTGTAACTTAAATCCAAGACCCAAAACGAAAAAAATCCAGTGAATTCAAACCTTAAAGGAATGCAGCCGTTGAAATCAAAACTAAACAATCTTCAGAAGAAGCTTTTAA